CTACGAGAGAAGTTGTTGAAAAAAATTCCTGTTATAAGTGTAATCAGTATCATGGGGACTACAGAGGAGAGTGCAGTTGACCCATTGGTGGACATCCTCTCAATCAGGACAAAACTGAGTCAAGAGGTATTTTTTTTTTCTAAATCAGATTTTATCAGAAAAACATTTTATCGAAAGGAACTACAATCCATTCGCAGCAAGTCTTGAGAATAACATGGTTTTGTCTCTGGTCCTCCTAACCTGGTCATTATCCTCATTTATTTGCCTTTCTAATAACAGCTATAAATAAATTCACAGCATGGTGATTATAAGGCCAAGGAGACCTATAGAAACCACTGGGCGCGTGGGAATGAGCACCTCACTTTCATCAATATATGTAACTAAAACTTGTTGCGAATGTGCGGCTTAGCCAATTTGGTATTTTCTCTAGTAACCTCCAGCAACCTGTCATAGTGGTGAAAATATCACAGTTATTATTCAATAAACAATTAAAGACTATGCAAAGATCATATCGTTTTTTCATTAATATTAAAAAAAATAACACAGAAATCCATTATTCACACAAGCCCCACCGTTTCCACGATCAGACTGTCATGTCACACAATTCTATGACATCATCTTATGTGATCAAGGAATAGAGTATGATAAAGATGACTCTCCAAACAAATTGGCTTTGATTTCTCAGTGAGAAGCTCCTCAGATTGATTTTCTATTCCTAACTCACAAATTAAGCGAGGAAATCAATTTCCTTTGTAGGGACTGAATTTTAGCATCCACGCGGATGCAGCCTGGGGAGCATACTTCTCATGCATGTTTCGTGAGCCTCATGTGAGCGTCGCCATGGCGTCCCCTGCAGAAGAAAGCTTCGTTCCTGAACTACAGCTAAATAGCCACGTTACAGACCAACTGAAGGCTCTGAACCAGTGTGACACCATTACAGTGGATCCTCACAAATCCGGCTTCTGCCCGTATCCAGCCGGGGCAATCTGCTACCGTAACCAAGGTCTCAATAACTTCCTGTCTTTAACCAGTGGTGTAGTCTATTATCATGGTGATATCAACCTTGGAGACCTTGGCCTGGAAGGATCCAAACCTGGTGCAGCTGCCACTGGAGTGCTGCTCGCCAACAGGGTAGGCATAAAAAATCAACCTCCGTAAAAATGTGCTACCCTAGTCAAATGGAGAACTCCGCATGCGAATCAAGTGTCAAGTCATTTTCTCAATCAAGCCAAGCTTACCTACATACCATTCCGGGTAGCTTCCCTCTGCATAGCTCTACCATTACGAAAATTTGAAATAATTACGTTTCTTTCCCGTTACTGTCTTGTTGCTTGAACAGTAATTCGCATAATTATTTTCCAGCAGAAAACTTGATTCAGCTGTTCAATATCTGCTTCATAGTGAAATTCACTTCCGTGAAACTATTGAGACTGATGAAATCAGATTCATTCTGTTTTCATGTTTTTGTATCCATGCAGGTGATTGGACTCCACAAGAATGGATACGGCCGTATCTTAGCGGAGTGCATGTTCACCTCCAAGATCCTTTACTGCTACTGGGTCTGCATGGCAGAGGATACTGATGATTTTTTTTGTGAAACAACCAAGCCACTTCCCTCCGGAAAAATTCCTGTTTCTCCTGACAGCGACGAGAAGGTTGACTACAAAACTTTCATAAAACGCAACGTGTTGGGAAAATCCAATGAAGAACTCTCGCAGGTAATGCCAAGCTCCTCATGTACGCTTCATTTTGGGATGTAAACATTGACTAGAAAAGGAATCTTATTCAAGTTGCCTGAGTGTATGATTATTTTTGTCTTTTAAGGACAAATACACCATGAGTATCCTCAAAGAAATTGGGCCTGACACTATGATTCCTTGCTTCTCTGTTAATATCCGCGAAAATAAAGATGTGAGCCAATGTAACAATATCGTCAGTGCAATCTTTAACGACCTGAGCCACGCTTCCACCGAAGAATCTGAACAAAGGGTCCCTATGATTGTGACATCTTCTACAATGCAAGATCACAAATACAGCTTAGCTCTGAAGAAATTCAAGGAAAGACTTGGGGTGAGGCAAAGTTTAACATTGAATTTTATTCTTGATTTCTGCTTGTTTTTTTTTTCACGTTGTTACTATTTTGGTGCTGGTGGTGCTGCTAGGCAAAGCCATGTTGATATGCTTCAAAATATATATATATATATATATATATATATATATATACAAAATAATGTAAAACGCAGTTCTATTAAGTGCCGTTCATTCCAAAATAATCAAAGCCTAGTCAGAAAAAAGTTCAATACATTAAAGGGGCCAATCAGAACCCAAAGTGAAAACAAAGCACTCTGCCAAAGGCGCGGGAAAGCATAGGTGACCAAGTCGTTACTGATTTGTTGAAAGGGTGGTTCGAGGTTTCTTTTACAGCTAAAGTCTTCATAAAGGAAAACCAATCTATTTAACTGATCTTTTTGTTTTCCTTTTTATCACAGCTGAGCACAGACAACAAGGAAGGAGTGAAGTACGTTATCACCACATGTCTGGATCCGTGGTCCACTTCATTGGAATTCATGGACGACTTCGCCGACATCATGAGGAACGCAATCCTCAATGCCATTGGCACGGTTAGTGTGTGATTGTGCAAGTGTTATCGGCTGTTGAAAGAAAGATGATCTGTCTATTCGTTTGTTAAGAGCGAGCAGGAAAGGAAAAAATCGTCTTCGGATCGATAACAGGGAGAAATTTTTAGAGGAATAAACTACACATCAGATTTAGATATGACATACGTGCGATCTGCATACTGTAGTGAACAGAATTGTTTTAAGTGTTCTATACGAAGCCACCGACACAATATTTTCAGACTTGACCATCAGTTTGATTCATGTTGATGCACAGACGGTGTTTAATTATTTAAACGGTATTTTCTTCCCTTTAGGTTACGGACAAGCCAGACTGCCACAGTTTTGTTTGCACAGACAAGGTGAATGAAAAGAACGAAATATTCGTGTGTTATGCTGGAAACTTCAGCCAGACTCAACACCGGTACTTCTCGGTTGCAAGGTTCAAGTTCCACTCAGAGGCCGACGTGGCTACTTTTAATGATGCTGTGCAGAAAGCTGGTGATCAGCCTGTGGTAATGCAAAATCTTAAGACTGAACCAAAGAAGCTTCATGACCTGCTGTTTAACGATTCCGGGGAAAAAAGAGAAACCGTGAAGTTTGATTTCTTTGTTGGCCTCCCAAGTGGAATTATTAGACCGTTCATGACGGCCGACATGGCGATCAAAGACGTGCCTCGTTATGACCACTTTGACAAAGCCGATGAGCAGTACCCAGAGGTTGCCACATACGTCATGTATGGTAACTTGAATGATGCCTACCTGTTCCATATTCCGACAAAGGACCCAGATTACTTGCAGGTAGGTCATCGAAGAGGTACCTTTGAGGTCAGCAGCTTGCTTTGTTGTTTCTGCTCTTGTAAAAATACAGTTACCGATTATTTGTCAACTATGCTGTATTGATCGTGCTCTCTTATATAAACGGCTAAATGCCTGGCTTCTAAAGAACATCAAATCATCTAGATTTTCAATCCATTTTAAGATATATGTTGATTTTGATCGATGGAGGCGATAAAGTGAAACGGGACACGATATGCAAATGAAAAATACTGTTATAATTTTTTCTTCTTCCCTGTAGATTGTCCGACTTGCAGAGGTCCCAAAAGGCTTAGGCGATGGTGGTGAAAAATCCGTGGTTCTAAAGCAAGGTGTGGATGCTGAGTTGCCCAGGGTTCCCGGCTCCCCCACCTTTGACCCCCAAACTAAAAAGATTAAGGACCCCCTGGCAGACACGAAATACTATGTAGAATTCGTTGGAATTCAAGGACAAGAAATTAAAACTACTGTCATGATACAAAAGAAAATTTGGTTTGACGGCGACGTGCTAAACAAATCTGCAGTTGCATAAGAACATAGTGAAATGAGACAGTCCAGTTGAATACTAACTGTGATTATTTCATGGCAGATAAAAGGCATATGTGTCTGTTCTAGAGTTATTTTGGAAACTATAGCTAGCTCTACGAACACTGCTTAAGGCGAAGCCTCGATACCGCTGATTTAAGTTTATTTCAAAGTAGTCTGCAATGAGTGACAATCACGTGACAGTTATGCTGTCACGATGTCTTAGTCTTTCAAATTAGTCTGTGACGTGTGACAATTACGTGAAAATTAAGCTCTCACGATGTTTTAGTTACTGGAATCTGAGATTTTTATTGGTGTAATGGTAGGAGAACTTAAATTCAACCAGACATTAAAAAACATCGCGAGGTCGATGATTTAGAATAGTCAGTGAAGTCAAACCAAGCAATTGTTGGAAGTAGTTTGCTACATTACAATAAAGTCAATACCCTGATCAGGGATCTTTGCCATCGTTAACTCTTTTCCATCCAAGCTAGTCGTGAATGCTTATATACTCTTGGTTTACAATGCAAGTAACCTTTTCCCGTCATTCTAGATGACAACAAAGGAGTTAATTTATAATCTCTTGTCAAAATTAATATATACTCCATTATTACGAATCAGTAGGGTAATTGGTGCCCATTTCCGAATTAGGGACTCAAATTCAGTCTCTGTATTAAGACAGCATCCTTTTACTTTTAAATACTGACGTGGAAAAGGCATCTTTCTACAAAATCAATTGATTTCCTTCCTGTTAGACCGGTCAAACGACTCCTGATTAAAGTCAAACAACCAGCAATCATATCCGCCCCATAAAACTGTTGCCTTTTAAGGACTATCACTCAATTGTCGCATTTACAAATATAATGATAACAAAAATACCTCCGAAATATCAACTCAAGGATTGATTCAGAAATTTACGTTATAATATGATCAACTGTTTGTATCTTGTCAGACCTCCCGGTCCAATAAAAGCCGTATTCGTGACAGTTATTTACCTTCGAACCAGACACCTGGTACCCGTGATATGATTGTTTTGAATCACTTTACACAACAATCCTTTGCTGTCACATGCTATCATTAGATATTCAAAGGTAGTTACCTCAGAAACCGTTGCCGATGAAGAAGTAAAAAGAGCAGTAGTCAAAGCCTTGGGGTTTTAATTTTCTGTCGAAACCAAAGTCAGGCGAATCAGGAATAACGCGAAGAATGCAAGAACGTTTGGTTGTGAGACTGGTGGTTGGACAATGGCTGCTGGTTGTCATATCCTCAGCAGGTACAAAATAGGATTTTCTTCATACGGCTTATTTATTTTCTGGATTGTATAGTTCGTTGTTCAGTGAAGCATGGCTTTCTCAAGTGTGACTTAAACTCCCTTTATTTGAAATACAAACCCACCATGCGGAAGTGAAACTATAACCATGGTTAACTATGGTCAATAGACCACTTTCATAAATGGCTGCCGGATTAAAATTCTTTGCTTTACATATAAATTTGCCTGGGTGTACAAAATTCAAAAGAATACATTATCTCAAGGGAGGCCACTGGGGCAAATTTAAATTTAAACAAAAGAATATTAATCCGGCAGCCATTTATGAAAGTGGTCTATGCTGTGATAGATATATTCTTATCCATTCAACCTGGTGGTTCAAGTAACAATATAAAGATCGGTCGGGAGGAACACCAAAAAATTTCACCATCTATGATAACCATGGTTTGCGCTTTCCGCCCATTTATTAATTTGGATTGTCAAAACGGGACAAATATTAATCTCCTTGAATTCGACCGTAAAGCCATCAATTTGAAACTGATCGTAAAAAATCACCAGTTTGCCATCGAAAAAGTAATGCAATTTTTTGCTCGAGAAAATTAAACAGTTGCAAACTCATACAACTTTATGAAACATCTCTTCGAGGTGCAAAGGAAAAGTCGGGATTAAGAAAAATAAATGAGCAACAAAAAAAATTTGAATTAATTCAAATTCTTGCATCTGACTTATTGGTCTCCATTCCGACTCGGGCATGTGTGGGAGACTAGTTTCTGACACGTGGCCTGGTAAAGACATTCCATCATGCCGTTGTACCTACAGAGCGATTTTGGCTTTATAGAGTTCGTCTCTACTCTGGTGATAACGGATAAACAATTGCAAATAGTTGGAACAATTATTTCAACGTAAAAAGCATAATCAGCGCGCCATCTATGGATTGCGGCGGTTTGTTAATTTTAGAATAATTGTGCACTTGCCGTAGAGCGCATGAAATGTTGAAATCCATTCTGATTTCAAATTTAATCTAGTGTTTTAAATTCAACAGCATTTTCTTGTTTTTGTATTTTTTTTTCTAAGCTCCACAAGCGCAGTATCAACTTCGTCGTCCAGTTCAGACGAATGCGCAAACACGAACCTTTCCCCAAAACTTACTGAGCGGACGAAAAGGTCAGTCCAAGAGTTTTACTTCTTGAGAAACAGATAGTCGTCGTAGCATTCGCTCATATAAAATTTCTTGTCATATATACAGGTCCACAAACGCAATTTCAATTCCGGCGTCCAATTCAGATGGGTGCACAGGTCCGTAATTTCCTTCCGAACCGTCTCATCACAAAGAAAGGTACGATCGAGAGAAGGCATTTTAACATTCTTTAATAGCAGTGATGAACAAAATAGTGTATTCATGTGTTGTATTTATGCATTACAGTAAAGGCTTCAGGCACATGAAATCTAGAATGTCAATAAAAAATATATATTTATTTAACTGTAGCTTTTGAGGGGGCGCGTGTTCGTTCCAGATGAAAACTTAGATCAAGATAGATAGGAATGCCAATTATATTCAACAAGGTAAAAAGAATGAACTGCCTGAGATGATCATAGCATATAACCTTTCCTCCCACTCACCCCCTCAAAGAACTTACACTAACGTATCATTGCTTATTTTATACAGCTGGACGTTACCCACCTCTCCCACCCAGTAAAGGGGCACAGTTACCAGCTGATAACAGGAATTTTATCCCCAACAGATTTGACATTCCTGCAAGTAAGTTACAATGAAAGGTGCCTAGGTAAAATTGGGAATGTGTGGTATGCATCCTGTTTACTGTACCTCATCTTGTCACGAAAGGGGGACAAATATAAAATCTGACTCCATGAGGAGAAATGCAACAATAAAGACATTGGGAACATCGATTCCTTACTGAGAATCAGATTTTTTTTTTTTTTAAATCACTCTCCTGGAAATGATTGTTTCCAAATCTGACAAGATGTAACCTGGTCAAAAAGTAACCCCCAACTTCCTTCGTGAAGCTTCTTCAGAAAGGAGTATGAGCGAAGTGTGGAGACAATGGTCAGAGTAGCGTACTGTTTGCGATGGGTGGCAACGTTCAGAAATCCTTCTTTTTACTAATACAGGGATAAGCAGTCTCGAGAATCATTTATCTGTAACAAATTCGGGTCCTGATTCGGTTTTGCTTAATGCAGTCTTCTGACCAGTGCACACAAAAGCTCATATCAAATTTTCGTTTCAGGTGTCATACACAAAAAGCCCGGATCCTCAGTAGGTAGGTAATCATGGGGCTTGATCACAAGACGCGTATCAAAAGTCGTTTTATACTGAGGCTCGCGATCTGCCATACGCTCACAGTATCCTAGCAGGGTTTACGATCACGAAATATATCGTTGGTTTTTATAAGAATCACTGTGATGCCTTGGGGTTGCCCTTTTCGGCATAACCACATGATAACCACTTTATCTCTTGCCAATTTAGAAACGGACAACATTTGCGCCGATAAAGATCGTTTTTCAACATTGTCTATGTATTGATTATTTTTTTATATGTATGCTGGTACCTTTTTTCTTTTTTCTTTTCTAATCGTCAGGATGTGTTGGGGCTGATCCTTGTGGACTGCTTCCTCCATATTCTTCACCAGCACTCCCACTTGCTCCCCCTCCGGTGCCTTACGCTGGATTTCCCCCACCACCAGTCCCATACGGCCCCCAGAGGTACGCTCAACCAGCCCCCATGGCTCCCAATGGGTATGGTATGCACTCAATCAACGCCATGGCTCAAGATGCAGCAGCAGCAATGGCCTCTAAATTAAAAATTCTTGGTGGGACACATCCCGAGAAGAAATTCGTGCCGCATCTTCCACCCATGGGGAGACAACAGCCGGGGAAACCTCCTTACGATCCCCCACCTCCACCCCCAGCGCCACAGGCAACAGCGGGATTTGCCCCAGGGCTACCGGGGCAGCTGCCATATCAGCAGCCATTTGGCTACAATCAGCAAGGCATGCCTCCTCAAACTGCTGCATTCGACTCTCAGCCGGCTCCCGGGTTTCCTCAGCCTGTAGCGCCTCCAATGCAAGGAAGCTTTGCCGATCAGCAAACTCTACCGGTTAAGTTTGGCTTATATTACATGACAGAAAAAATCAAATTATAATGCAAACTGCTTTTGATGCTCAAAATATTCTCCCACCTGTTCAGTGTGTTTCTCAGTGGAACACTAAATTGTTCAGACTATCCTAACACAGCGCGTAAATAATCAACAAAAATTCTTATTACAGTATCGACCAATTGCAGTGCAAAGCAAGAGCACTTCTTGCGCTGAAATAATTCTTAACAAATAGTTCAAAAAACAAAAACCCTCGGAAACTTTTTTGTTTTCAACTAAGGCATAACTTTTTGCATTTTAGGCTCCACTTCCCTTTCCCCAGAACCAGGCCCCTGCATTTCTCCCTCAGCAGCAATCGCCCACAGGACCTCAAACACCACAGCTGGTTAACAATGATGTTCCTCAAGTGCCCTTTCCGGCTGAGATGAATCAAGCCCCTGCGTTTAATGACCCAGGACAACAAATGGCACCTAATGGTTAGTACAGTAACTTGTATTCATGATCAGTCATCGTAAACTGCGAATGTACATATCGGTTTTAAAATACTTGGTAAGAAGTGTTTCAAACAAGGTACACGTATGACTCCAATCTCCATTTTACAGGTTCTTTTGACTTGGCAAAGAAGAGGATGATGGCTTTGAAACTAAAAGGTCAAATGAAGAGATTTGGAGTTCCTAGACCTGTACAGAAATCAAGACTGACACCTAAGCCCTTATTCAAACGGCATTTGTAGTGTAATTTCTAAACAAATGATAATTTAAACCTGAGTACTGCAGGTCTGTAATTATTGCAATCTAATTTAATAAATCTAAAATATATAACACTTTTCGTCTGTGACTCTTGTTATTTCTCCATTAGAAGTAAAGGTAATTAAACAGGGATGGCAGGGAATATTTAGAGACTTGTTTCTTTGAACGCCGGCCCACCGAGAGCTCCCAGCATGCAAGTCGGACGCCCAATTCAAAGAAGAGTTAAGTCTACAATAAGATGGCACAAACTACGAACTCATTAAGGTTGTCTGTACCAGAAAACAAACAGGTAGAGACGCTAGCACAAGTTACTTTGTCACTGGCTTCCAATTCTCGAGCGATTTTTATAGAAGGCAAAACAAAAAAAAAATAGGTCCGCAATGCATACATTTCTGGCTTACGAAATTGAGCTGCTTTTCAGTGTCTAGTGTCTTATTGAGTTTCTTTTAGAAGAGGTAATACCTGATTACGGTTAGATAGTTTTCAATATTGTTCCTTTTCGTTTATAAAACAAGATAACTAGCATACACTAGTCATGAAAGATTCATTTTCAAGTAGAGGGTTAATGGCCAAACTTTGTTATGGAGGTCTCATTTTGACAACAAAGGTTGCACATGTAACCTGAGAATTTTAGGAACTAAAATCTATTAGGCGTCACTAACGTATTTTACTGCAGCCAAGTCTTCACAAGGTCTGCGTTTTCGATCTTTCTTTGTTCTTCGGACGAGGAAAAAGGAGTGGGATATCGGGATGGTTAACTGTCCAACCGGAAACAAACTGATTTGAATTTACCCAATATCCATGCATTTTTCACTTGTTTAACAAAAATTTCACCATCAAAAATTCCGTGTAACTAACATAAAAATAGATTCTTCAGCGTTTTCTTAAATCCTCATAGGTGTTCGACCATGTTCATGGGGGTTCGATTGTTCCTCAGGCCGGATCCTCGAGTAACTTCGAATAGATGCACAGCTCGTACGCCACTCGGAAAATCTTCGGGAGTTGTTTTAAATTAAAATCAGGCCTTGAAAAATTCAGAGATCTTCGGGTAACTTTGAAAACCTTCAGATAATCTTTGGTTAATCCTCGAGTATATTCGGAACTCGTACGCTCTTCGGAAAGGTGAGCTGGAAAACCCATGTGCAAGGTCTGTTAAGGAGGAATGAGGGAGGCCTGTATCTAACGGAAGAGCTTATCGCTTTCGTTAAGCAGTGCTTTACCGGAATTGAAATTTGAAATTGTGTAAATGGCAGACTGACTATGGCGTTGCTATATTTTCTTTGCACCCTTTTAATGAATAATCGAGATCTTGATTAAAGGGACGCCGACCATGTTAACCTATAATTTGACGAATGATTTGCTGTTTCTTATTTAGTTTCACGGCTGTTACAAGGCAGAGAACAAGGCAGCTAGGGTTACCCTAGCGCTAGGGTAACCCTAGCGCTCAGCTAGGGTTACCCTGGTGCTAGGGTAACCCTAGCTGCCTTGTAAACACGTCGATGAAAAAAAGAAGAAATGTGGGAGGGTTAGGGTAACCCTAGCACTAGGGTTACCCTACCTGCTTGTAAACAGGGCCTTACTGGAGCAATATTTTTAGATCTCAGCAAGGCTTTCGATATGATTGGCCACTCTCTCCTTAAGATTAAACTTACTGCACTCGGTGTCAGAGGAGAAGCACTTGCCTGGTTTTATAATTACCTATCTGGCAGGTGACAATCTGTTTGTGTGAATGGGACTTATTCAGATATCTCAGATCTATCACTTGGAGTTCCTCAAGGGTCTGTCCTGGGCCCATTATTATGTATCGTATTTATAAATGATCTAACTAGTGCTGTACATCGTTGTAAAATAGTCTTGTATGTTGATGATACTGCTATATTTTTTTCCGGTAGAAACATTCAAACTATTCAATCCACTCTACAAGAAGACCTGAATACCGTTGGCGAAGGGTTTTCTTTGAATCGCTTGCTAGTAAACTGCGACAAAACCAATGCCATGCTTTTTGGCTCCAAACAGCGTCTCGCAAGATCACAAGGACTCTCCTTACTTTTATTGGACAATCTTCTGGAACTGTCAAACACTGTGAAATACTTGGGTTTAAGTTTTGATGCTTCTATGAACTGGCATGAACACATGAATAGCATTTCTAATAAAGTAACTCGTAGATTAAATTTATTGGGAAGAATTCGCAAATATTTAGATACCGATACCTGTAAGCTTTTATATATGACTTTAGTTCAGCCTTTAATGGAATTTTGTGATATTGTCTGGTCCAATGCTGATAGCACCTCTCTTCAAAGACTTCTTAGGCTTCAGAAAAGGGGAGCATGGATTGTTCTCCAAAAGAAGATTAGGGAAGACCGTTCCGCAAAATTGCTTTGTGAACTGGGATGGGTCTCCTTCAGTTTGAACGTTGGAACTTTCACAAGTGTCTAACTGTATTTAAATGCCTTAATAGAAGGCGTCATGCTTGATTCTGTGATGAACTTACGCTCGCACATAAATTCCATCTGTAAATCGTCGTCTCTAGCAATCAGAAATATTGGTCGCGTTCGTAAATACCTCTCGACGCAGCAAAATGAAAGATTGATACACGCCTTCATCTCATCGTGACTTGATTACTGTAATAGCCTAATGTACGGTCTACCGATTTGTGACATCGAAAAATTCCAACGGATCCAAAACGCAGCTGCCCGCTTGTTAGTCGGTGCTAAGTCAAGAGACAGTATAACACCTATACTTATGAAATTTCATTGGCTCCCGGTCACAAAGCGAATTCAATTCAAGATACTGTTGATAACATACAAAGCACTAGATGACATGGCTCCAACCTATCTTGTTGAACTTCTTAGTCGATATATTCCAGCACGAAACCTCCGTTCATCAAACATGAATCTACTTGAGGTCCCAACAGTTCGAACTAAAACGTATGGGCAAAGATCATTCTCCTACGCTGCACCGTATTTGTAGAATCAACTACCTGAATGCATAAAAAACGCCGAAACTGTTGACTCCTTTAAACGCTTATTGAAAACTTATCTTTTCAAAAATTAAGCCACCAGATTTTTTTTTGATATCGTACGTTGTCAAATATATGTATAACACGTAATAATTCATTAGTTTAGATAGAGTAGCGCAAAATTACATGTATAGGTCCTGGATTTTTGTTGAAATCTTGTTAATTGTAATTGTAAAGCGCATAGAGTTCAATTTTAATGCAGATATATAAGAACTTATTATTAAATAAACTGAAACGGACACCACCCCTCCCCTTCCCATGTAAACGTATTTGTCACGGGTTGCCATGGCAAAAAGAATAAATAAACGCACCAGGTTCGTTTTGGTCCGCCATATTGCTTGTATGATTGCTTTCGATGTAAATGATTTCGACCTCTCCTTCCGCGGCCGGTAACACCTGAACCTACACTCTTCTGCGACAACATTGGAGTGAACAATTCTGAACTTTCAATCACTGATCTTTATGAAATAACCGCTGCTATCACGAAACAACAACAAGAACAGTACGAAAATGCAGTTCCGAAATACACTTCGAGACCCACAGTTCAAAAAGGAAAAATTTGATGACAGTAAATTTTATCACTTTGTTTTATTTGACATCGAGACAAATTCAACGGGAAAATCAGCAGAAGTATGTCAGCTCGCTGCCGTGGATAGGTCAGGTAAACAATTCTCATGCTATATTCTACCAACCAGAGACATAGATTCTCACGCGTCAAAGGTCAACAAACTTACAGTTAAAACTGTCAATGGAATCCGCCGACTTTTCAATAATAATCGACTAGTAGAAGCCTTTGAGTTATCGCAAGTACTTAGGCAGTTCTTAACTTTTTTGAGGGCCAGCATAGATTCAGCTTCAACACGATCCACAAAGCCTGTTTGCACAATCTTGGCTGGACACAACGCCGCCACATTTGATATTCCAATACTTCTTCGAAACGGTGGCGAAAATTTTATCGCGGAGCTCAGTTCCATCAGTTCCATCCGGTTTGCAGACACTCTGACACTGATGAAATCACTCATCAAAAGCAAGCACTCTTCCATCCAAAACGCAGAAGGTAAATTTCCAAAGCCTGGGCAGAGTTCTGTTTACGAACATTTATTTCAAACCACCTTTGATGCCCACGACGCCCTAGAGGACGTGATCGCTCTTCGAAGAATCTTGCTTTCGCCTAGGTTGGCTTTGTCTGATGAAATGCTGGTGAACAGAAGTTCTGTAATCTCTGTCAAGGACGCCGCCGAAGACCTGAAATATCTTGACAACCGTCATGTC